GATAATTGAATTTAGACTAGGTTAGGTTTAGGTTCTTTTCTAGATTTAGATTAGGTTAGGTTTGAATTTTAGTTCAATTTCTTTACATTGCAATCTTTGTGGTTAATATACTTTCGAATACACGTACACTCCCTTGTGATAATTGGATTTAGATTAGGTTAGGTTTAGGTTTTTCTTTAGTTTTAGATTAAGTTAGGTTTGAATTTTAGTTTCAATTTCTTTACATTGCAATCTTTGTGGTTAATATACTTTCGAATACATGTACACTCTCTTGTGATAATTGGATTTAGATTAGGTTAGGTTTAGGTGTCTCTTTAGGTTTAAATCAGGTTAGGTTTGAGTTTAGGTTTCTCTTTAGGTTTAAATCAGGTTAGGTTTGAATTTTAGTTCAATTTCTTTTAAAATCAGTCTTTGTGGTTAATGTCGAATACACGTACACTCTCTTGTGATAATTGGGTTTAGATTAGGTTAGGTTTAGATCCTTTTTAGGTTCAGGTTAGATTAGGTTTGAATTTTAGTTCAATTCCTCTTAATTGTAGTTAATATATTGTCAAATACACGTGCAACCTCTTGTGACAATTAAGTTAGTTTTAGGTTCTTTTTAGGTTTAGATTATATTAAGTTAGATTAGGTTTAAGTCTTTTCTAGGTTAGGTTTGAATTTCAGTTCAATTTCTCTTAATTGTAACCTTTGCAGTTAATATATTGTCAAATACACGTGCAACCTCTCGTGACTATTAGGTTGCGATTTTTTTTAGGTTTGGGTTAGGCTTGGGTTAGGTTAGATTTGAATTTCAGTTCAGTTCCTCTTAATTGTAATCTTTGTAGTTGATACGCTGTCAAATATACGTGCACTCTTTCGTGACAATTAGGTTACGTTTAGGTTTGAATTTTAGTTCAATTTCTCTTAATTGAAATCTTTGCAGTTAATATACTTTCCAGTGTACGTACACCCTTCTCGTGACAATTAGATTAGGGTAACTTTAAAGTTTGGTTCAATTTCTCTTAATTGCAATCGTTGCAGTTAATATACTGTCGAATACTTGTACACCGTTTCGTGACAATATTCAAAACAGCAAAACGGTGACTCAACCCATTTCGTGCAACATAACATAATTTATTTTTGAACGAGATCATGGAAATATATTTTCTAATTCGACGTCTTGAAACTGGGGCATATTAATCTTCTCTGTTCCTTTTAAAATTTACGCACCGTTTCCTTTTTCCTGCTATCAATCCCAAGGGCTTTCACCAGGTTTTTATACACGCCTTCTAATAGAACAACGTAAACAACGCGTGGTAAATTTTATTTATCTATTTCCCTTCCTATTTGTCTTTCTATCTTGCTTTCGTTCTTGGCCAGCACGTCTCTGTAAACGAAAATAATTTCCCAAATCAATTTTTGAGCTCTTAAATTTCCTCTGGCTCTTAAAAACCTGGTCCTTTAGTCTTGGTTCCTTCGCCAATTAGTCTACTAACTGCGGTGCGTTAGGGAACTCGCGAAGTCTCTTCGGAACCTCTTAATTTACAACGCGACTCACATACACTGGCAACGAAGGAAATGGTTTCTTTAAAGTCTCGAGACGCTCACCAGCGTCTTCCCTACGAATTGCCTCGAGTTGAAAACTGAACTGAATTAGCGTCAACCACATTATTCGGAATCGAACGATACCCAAATGTGGGAAAACTCGAATTTATACTTATAAATAAATTGTATTCTATACGATCGAAGAAATTAGTTTATGCGTCGATGGGTTTTAATTCAATTTCGTTATAACATCTCTCCATAAAAAAAAATAAAAAAAAGGCAGAATAACGTAGAGTGACCATTAATATTCGGACACTATAATGGACATTGAAAATGTCATAATTTTGTAAAAAGAAATCGTACGATAATATTGTACATTTGAACTCATTTTAAAACTCATTTTAAAGCCTCCACTTTTCGAAAATTGTCATTCATTTTAGTCTGAAATGTTTTTGCATCACGTAGCGAATGGATAAATGAAGATACAGCGAAGAGCAAAATCGAACGCACACAATGGAATTTTAACGTAATTAATATTTTACCGAGTATCTGCATGTAGAATATAAAATAAAGCACGATTTTATCAAAAATAATTTTATCATTGTATCACCTTCAATATTTTGGCAGATGCAAATTGTTTCAGTTTCGCATCGCAGTTAATTTAAATGAAAAATTATCGATATTTTAAGCTGTTATGATTTCGTAAAAATGATCGTATAACAATTTGTATTTTGTCTCATTTTTGAAGCGTGAAATCTCTATTTTGACCTTTAACATCGTATAGAAAATGGAAAAGACTTTTTTTGTGGAAAAAAATTTTCACACATATGTAAAAAGAAGAAAACACTGAAAAATTTTATTCTTTCTGATTTTGAAAATTCAAGTATTCTCTCTGCAATGAAACCTGCTGTACGACTTGAAAAGAATTGTCCATGCTTTTACGTACCGTGACAATTTATAGTATTTTCGAGAAGAAAACTGTCTACACCTGCTATACTCAAAATAAAATGAACGACATATTTTAAAAGTAGAAGCTTCAAGTTTTGAAATAAGACCAAGTATATTGTTACATTTTCACAAAATTACAACAGTCTCAATCTTCGAATCCACTGCAGATTCCACTGTTTTACACATTGTGACAATTTATAGTATTTTCAAGAAGAAAACTGTCTTCATTTTGCACTTACAAGCGTCTCAAAATAAAATAAATTATGTTTAAAAATATTTTAAAAGTCGAGGTTTCAAGCTATATAAAATGAGTTAAAACTGTTACATGACAACAGTTTTTACAAAATTACAACAGTTTCAATATCTAATGTCTAAATATTGATAAGAGTCTTATGTAAAATGAGTCAAAACTGTTACATGACAACAGTTTTTACAAAATTACAGCAGTTTCAATATCTAATGTCTAAATATTGATAAGAGTCTTATGTAAAATGAGTCAAAACTGTTACATGACAACAGTTTTTACAAAATTACAGCAGTTTCAATATCTAATGTCTAAATATTGATAAGAGTCTTATGTAAAATGAGTCAAAACTGTTACATGACAACAGTTTTTACAAAATTACAACAGTTTCAATATTTAATGTCTAAATATTAATAAGAGTCTTAATAATATTTAGATATTAAATATAGAAACTGTTGTAATTTTGTAAAAACTGTTGTCATGTAACAGTTTTGACTCATTTTATAGCTTGAAACCTCGACTTTTAAAATATTTTGAAAGCACATAATTTATTTTATTTTGAGACTCTTACTAAATTAGATATTATTTATTTAATTATACTTATTTAATAATATTCTTATTAATATTTAGACATTAAATATTGAAACTGTTGTAAAAGCTCATGAATCATTTTAAAGCTTGAAACTTCTACTATCAAAATATATATATATATACACATACATGTATATATATTAAATCGAACAATGCAGGGATCATACACGTGTTGCTGGTCGTTTGCCTGCGTACCGTATGCTCTCAAGCTCATATACATAAGTATCGAACATCATGCTCCATATTCATCGCTGAAACTTCGCAGAGTACTGTGTTCAACTCAAGCCCCGTGTGTACTTGAACAGGCCCTCTTCTCCTTCGCTTGATGGCAGCGCCACATACTTTGCGTTAAAGCAAGATTGCTAGGTTCGCGATCTTCCGCTCAGATACGAGATAGACCAGGAAATTACGTTGATCTTTGTGGACCACCTTGACGTGTTTGAGGAACACGTCGAAGTTCCACGAAATACACTCGTGTATATCGTATGGTGTGAATATGAAATGAAAATCGGTATCATTCACGTGCTTTCGAATAAAATTGAATATCTCATACACACACACACATGTAGGTTTGAATATATATATATATATATATATATACATAAGCGGCATGCAAGTGACACATTTCTGATATAGGGAAAATTGAGTTCAAAGTTCAGACGCGTTTCAGAAATTCCAGTTAACATCCTTACGGACAATCGAATTTGACGGGGATATTTTGATAGTCTGGCTTAAAAACATCAATTTTTTTCTTACATTTTCTCGAAGTATATGCATTTGAAAATGTCAATGTAAAAGGATTTGGTTCGAATTCGTAAAACTTAGCAACGTTTGTAGATGTTTAAAGGAAACGGTGTAACTGCTCGCAACGTAATTATGAATATTTTTACACAACGGGTAACAAAACCTTGAATTTTTCTCAAAAAATATTTCATTTTACAATATTATTATTTATTTTTATACTGTTATTAATTTATAATATTTTATTTTTCGTACTGCTCGATTGATTGTAAGTATGAATATTTTTGTACAACAAGAGCATCAAATATGTTTTTCTCAAATCCATATTTTTTAGACTGACTTGAAATTTGGAGGAAATCTTCACCAGACGTACCTTTATCGCGTGAACTATAAATTTCAAAACCTGATGTTTTTCTTCTATTCTTTTTTTTTTTTTTTTTACCACCCAAAAGACGAAAAGCACAAGGAAAATCGTTATTTTAACTTCAAAATGCTGTCATTTCTTTAATTTTCGAAATTTCGCTGTTTCCGTGGTTCATGCGATAGCCATATACTAATTAAGCTGCACTTTGGTTTTTTATCTTCAAATAACCAGGTGGACCGGAATCACGTCAGCCATTCGAAAATTCTCGTTTTTAAAAAAACGTGCTTTACCTAAGGCTACGTAATTTCCACAACTTTCATTAATTTCGTTAAAAAAATAAAAAATTGTAAATACGAATTTAAGTACGAAAAAATCTGTGTGCGAAAACTGCCTAACAAAATGTATCATGGCTTAGAAAAAAATCCCAAAGAAGTCGATTTTTTTCAAGCCGGATCACCAGAACAGCCCCTTAGCAAGCGTTACGTTTGATCCCGTAGCTGGAGAGCGCGGGTTTCGGTTTGATTTTCCTTCGCCCTCGACTTCTTAATTATGCGAGAGAGGAGGCGATACATGAATATGCATTACCTGTATCTGACAGACGACTTCGCCGTACGGCCAGCATCCGTAGACAGCCGGCAGGAAGCCGAACGGCGTAACCAGGAGGCCAATAGCGAGGTCGTTGCTCGCCAAACTTGTCAATAAGTACTTCGGCTGCAATAAAGTTGAAGAGAACCTGTTGATCGTTTAGATTACATTGTCGGTCGGCGCGACGTTGTTCATTACGCGAGTCAATTTCGAACGGGTTTCGTCGAATATCAAGGTTCAATTGGCATTCGATCGGGCGAGCTTTCGTCGTTTTTCGACGCGAGGAGAACTTTACTTCACCAAACACTTGTTCGTCCGTTTAGATTTTTCGATGACTTCGCGCTCAACTCCGGGATCACTCTTACAGACCAGTGACGGCAAACCTTTTTTGAGAAGTAGGTCAAATTTTGTTCGTTATTTTTTTCAGTACTAGCTCGTGGGTCACTAAGTCAGTGGCGTCACTTGGAAAGGGGCAGGGGAGAATGGTTAAAAACTACCTTTTTTTGTGGTTCTCACTTTTATAATCCTCTAAAAAGTTTACGTTTCCTTTTTTGTTACAACTTTTTGTTTACAACTTTTGCTTTTGCAAGTGAAGAGCAAAAAAATAAATGTCGACGTGAAAAAGGGGTGACATCGTGCCCAGTTCTCCCCTGCACTATACATCAGATATATATATACTTTATTTCTTAATATTTTTTATTGTCTGTTCTCTCTTTTGTTATATAAAAACTTAGCAAAGCTACCCATTTTGAGAATGGGATCTAGTGTGTTTTTTTTTAGTGTTTATTACATCTGTTTAATCGTAAGCGCTATATAAAATTTTTTGGACACAACTAATTCGTATAACATTTAGGACTTGAAATATCTATATGTATACATAACCAAGTCATAAATCCTCCATAAAACACAATTATGCATTTATTTCTCACTTTTTTAAGCTCTAACCGAACACTTGTAATTTTCTTAAAATTTTTTGAAAAGAGGGGTTCGAAAAATAATTAAAATTCGTTTATATATATGTCTATAAAAATCATAGATAAGTCTATAAAAATCAACGCGTAGGTCATTTAAAAAGCCTGCGTGGGTCAGTGTCATTGACCCGCGGGTCATTGGTTCGCCATCATTGTCTTAGACTTACGATTTTCGCTCGAGTTACAGTAAGTTACTGAAAAAATTGTCGGTTCGTTCAAACTGTCGTGTTACTTCGTGAAAGAAAATTATACAACTGTATGCTCGATCTCGTTTCAAAGTGCTTCTGTCTTGAGTTTGCATTTTTTTTTCTCCTGAAAAGACGTTTTCACATGTTCGGTGTAACGAGCAGGGAAGTAAGAGTACTTCTGTCCTCGAAAACCGGTCGAAATTCAAGCATCTCTTGAAAATATTTCTCTCGTAACTTGATAAGTCTAACTATAGTCTACAGTTAAAAATTTACAACGAACTCTCTCAAATCTTTGCTACACCGTGATCTTTCCTTCGCCATTTTATTGAACTTCAAACATTCGAGTAAATGGGAATTTTTTAATTCTCGTCGTTTAATCCTAATGGTCATAGTTCGATTGAACAATGAAAAAAAAATCGCACAGCAAGTTTCGAGGGATCGCTGAGAGAAGAGAAATGTCAATCCTTAAGACCGTGATAGTATTATTAGTCGCAAATAAAATTGTTCAGACGTGTGAGTTTTTGCAACTTTCTCCAAAGAATATAAAAGCTTCTTGATCTGACATAAAATATCTTTTTCGAGAAAATTTTAAAAGTGAAATACCTATGGAAAAAAAAAAGACAAAATGAAAGCTTCACGTTTTAAATAATGGGACCGTGCAGATTGTCGTACAATTTTCTTTCGCGCAATTATGACAGTTTAATTGTATCGACAATTTTTCATCTGAATCAATACCGACGGAAATTGACTCCACAAAAACGGTTTCTTGTTCGTAAAATTTTTTTGAGAAAGCTAGAATATCCTACTAAAAATTAAAGAAAATTTCGCAAAATATACTTCATAAACATGTCCTAAAGCCACGTATTTTTCTTTCTTCTACACGCAAATATATATACTCGACAAAGTATATAAAATAAAATATAGTAAAATATAAAATAAATATACTTCATAAACAAAGTATATAAAATAAAATGTAATAAAATATATAATAAATATACTTCATAAACACGTTCTTCTAAAGCCACGTATTTTTCTTTCTACACGCAAATATATATACTCGACAAAGTATATAAAATAAAATATAATAAAATATATAATAAATATTATATATTTTATATATTATATATATTATATAAAAATATAATAAAATATATAATAAATATTACATATTTTATATAATATTATATATATATTAATATATAAAAATATAATAAATAATAAATATTATATATTTTATATAATATTATATATATCATATAAAAACATAATAAAATATGTAAAATAGAATAAAAATATTATTTATCGTTGAAATTCCACGCGCGTGTTCAGTTTCGCCCCGTCGAAAACTTTCCATTTCGAAAGTCTGAAGATCAACGTCTGAGGAAGACGGAAGTGTAAAAGGCAACGCGAGTTCGTTTCCACGCGTATTCGTAATCGATTTTTGCAACTCTCTCTCTCTCTCTCTCTCTCTCTCTGATCTCTCGCGTCTCGGATAAATAACAGCAGCAACAGCTTTTTGCCCGAGGAGAGACATGCTTCAATGTCCCCGCGTGAACAAAAATGACCATTCTCCAGCATCCTGCTTTCCTAGGTTAGTGCTGCTTCCCACTAATCATCGACAACCATTCGTTCTGCTCTATTACCGTCGGAACAACAGCAACCAACGTCGCTGTAAAACTTTTTGATTTTCAATGCGGCTAACTTGCCGGCTTGGCCACGATTCCGGTGGAAAATTCCAAGTTACGCTCTGCTCTGTTGCTTCAGCAGCGAAACAACACTGTTACGAACCGTTCCCCGCTTGAGTGATACTTTTGACATTTGACGTGGCCACGTCGCAATCGCAGTGCGTTGAACGAAAACACGGCCGCGTGCTACAAGTGTTCTGTTTACGATCGATAGCAATTAAACCTCTCAGAAATTTCCAATAAATTCCCCTATGTTTTCGTTCTGTTTTACCGTTTTAATGGTCTGCTTTTTTTTTTTTTTTTTTAATTAACAGTAGAACCACCAGATAACTTTCTATGGAAATTTTATACATTTGTAAGAGCGTATTTCTAGATATTCGAGTGATTTTTGAATAAAATATATTGACAGAATTGTTTGTGTTTTTTTTTTATCGTATTATTAATTTTTTCTTGCATCTTGCACTTTCACTCCTTTGCCACAAACATTATACTTTGGTCGTCGATGGTTCTGGCGTCTAACTGGATACAGCGTGCGTACTTTTTTTTAATTAATATTAGATATTGTTCGCGATTAAATAACTCGCGGATGAAATAATTTTTTTTTTTTTTTTATTCCTCGCGATTGAATTTATCTTTGCAACTTCGTTCGATATGAACTTGAGATCCACAGAGAGAGAGGGACGCAATCGGTCGCGAAATAAATCTGAAACTATCCGACAGCGACAATGAACGAGTAGAAAAGAATCCGAAAATACAGTACTCTTGACGAGTAAGTGCGAAAATGAAAACAATGTGTGTTACTTTAATTCTTGCACGAGAAGAAACTTATCATCCGACTTACGACGACTATATTACATGTTGTGTGTTTAATAAGAACACGGACACAGTTTCTCTGAAAAACGACTTTCTTTTATTCTTTTTGCAAAAAATTCTGCACAGATCCAAAGTACACCTAAGATACTATTACACGCTCGATTGAGGCGATTGGACTCAAATAATTAGTAACGATGGAGATTGGACACACTATTAACAGAAATGGTCAAAATGATTAATTCATAATTTTCAGCAGATATATCATAGATGTGAAACATAGAGATTTAAATGATTTTTCGGAAAATACATAAACAAAAGCTTGTCTACTCTATTTTTCTTTCTCTCTCTCTCTCTCTCTAACGTTTCTGATGAAAATTTTATACTTCAGTCCTTGGTAGTTCCAGCGTTAATAGTATTTCAGGTGTACCATCGATTTTCAGAGAAATTTTCATCAACGTTCTTCTTCTTAAAAACACTGTACATCAACGCACATTATCCAATAAACAAGAGAGTCTCGAAGGAGATGAATGCACCAACCTGCGCGTGAATGTACTTGCTGTACCGTCTGCTATTTATCACGCATATTACTAACAGATTGGCGCAGAGAATACCAAGACTGAGCAGGAGGATCAGAGTGGCGCGTAATAGCTCGCCTGGGCCTGGTCCGGTCCACGCGCCCTCGGACGTGTCTCGCCGCCAGCAGCTGCTGTTGCTCAACGCAGGTGCAAGCAGGATTGTTTGCTTGTGCTCCATCCTCACTTCGATCAACGTTCCCACTTGGAAAATTTCTGTTTAATCTCCTAGCCCAGACGAGACGTTCGCGTCTCGCGCGAGGCTGGGCTGGTAAACGCCACCCCCGGCAATCTTTCATCTCTGTCCCTGTACTGCTGTCCCAACGGCTAGGCTAGTTCCCCGACTATTTGACCGCGTGACCACGTTGACTTCCCTCATTGTCACGAATCGAACGAGGCGCCTCTGTCACTGTCGGTAGGCAACGAACGTTGGCGTTCGACGTCCACTTTTCCATTAATTTTCCGTCGAGCCTTCAAGCGAGTCCGGATCTTCACTGTGAAACGTGCGTTCTCACGCGGCGCACAATGCCAAGGCACGGGTTCACTGGGATTACCAAAGGGTACCTGCAACACGGAATAACGAACACTTAGTTGGAGACATAGGACGAGAGGGACTTTGTCGGTACGTGAGATGATTAACTTTATTGAAAAAAATATTCAGTGCGATGAAAATACGAGATGCTGAAAGAACAATGCTTGTACAGAGTGGAAGAAAAAGTTTGTTCGAATTCTACAGTTTCGATTTCATATATATGTAAATGTACCTGTCGCAAAATTAACCTTGACCTTGAATTTCTAGGTCAAGATTCTTTTGCATTGTATTCTACTCAACACGAAGGTAAAATTTTTCCAAAGAATTTAATAGGTTTTTAAAAAACAGTTTCTTGGTCATTTAACACTGCGTGCTAACAGCGACTTTATGTTTCTAAAAGCGTAGATGTCTGTACTACGTAATATTTATATTTCGAATAATGTTAACAGTTAGTTTTATCATTCGATTATTTAGACCCACGCTGATGCTACAACTAAGATAAATCAAATATTGAAACCTAATACGAAAATGACGTAACCATAAAGTTGCTGTTAACACGCATGCTAACGTCAATTGATCTTGAATTTCAAGATTAAAAAATCTTTTTCTTTTGCATTGTATTCTACTTATCACAAAAGTAAAACTTTTCCAAGGAACCATAGGTCGCAACCTAATAGTTGTTTTGAAGAAATCATTCAACACTGCGAACTGTTCTCGGATCGTTCTAACAGCGACTTTATGGTTCTGAACGCGTGTAATGTTTACGTCTCGAATAATGTTAACAGTTAGTTTTATCATTTGATTATTTATACTCACGTTGATGCTACAACTATGATAAATCAGAAATATTAGTGAAACCTAATACGAAAATTACGTAAAATAGACATCTACGCGTCCAGAACCATAAAGTCGCTGTTAACATGCACGCTAACGTCAATTGATCTTGAATTTCAAGGTCAAAAAATTTTTTTCTCTTGCATTATATTCTACTTATCACAAAAGTAAAACTTTTCCAAGGAACCATATTAGGTCGCAAGCTAATAGTTCTTTTGAAGAAATCATTCAACACTGCGGACTGTTCTCGGATCGTTCTAACAGCGACTTTATGGTTCTGAACGCGTGTAATGTTTACGTCTCGAATGATGTTAACAGTTAGTTTTATCATTTGATTATCTAGACTCACGCTGATCCCACAACTATGATAAATCAAATGTTAGTGAAACCTAATCCAGAACCGCTGTTAAAGTCGCTGTTAAGACACACGTGTCCGCAGTGTTAAACGATCAAGAAACTTTTTTGCCATTTTTCAAAAGAACTGTATTAAATTGCGAAACCTAGGAAAAGTTTTACTTTCGTTTTACCGAGTAGAATAGAATGTAAAAAAAAAAGTTTGACTTTGAAATTCAAGATATTTCGGCAGATATTTTCATCAAATCAAAAGTGTCGAATTCATTCACAAACTTTTCTTCCCACCCTGTACACGCGCATCGATTCCAATTTCACTCCGTTACATCAAACACTTCGTCGATGCGCGTGACGAACAGATAAAAGGAATTGATAAAAAGAGAACTGGTGAAGAGAGTTGAGGCAAAACGAAAGTGAACTTCACGGGTTAATAAACTCAATTTTCGCGTCGATCGAAACGGCGAATTTTGAAACAGGCTAAAAATTATGTCGACACGTAAACGTATTCCGATTTTACGATATAGCCAAAGTTTGCCAATATTCCCCTCGCAATTCGTATTTTTATTACAACTCGGCTGACAGGTCATTTTGCTAACAATTTAAATTCGTCGAGTTCGCTGACAAAGTTCGACTCTGTTGTGTACTCTGTTGCGTGTAAATCACGAAAGTTCCTTACATTTACCGATTATTCGCGAAACCGGTAGAACGCTTTCTCGGAATGAATCGAATGAAATGTTCTCTTCGCAGCTTTCTTCTCCCTTTTTTGACAAATTTGGACTAAAGTCAGAAGGAAAAGACAGAAAGAAAAAAAGATCGGAATCGCAGATGCACAAACGATTACTAATTAATACTACTTTGAGAGAAAGTAGCCTCGGAACGTTTGTTGCAGGCATGTGTCTCAAACTTTCCTAAAAAAAAAAAAGATTGAAATGATCAAGTGGATACGATTTGAAAAAAGAATAGTTACTCGAAACTTGTTTGTTGCAGTTATGGTGCAAACTTAAAAAAAAAAAAAAAAGAAAGAGATTAAAATCGCAGATACACAAATGGTCAGGTGGATACAGTTTGAGAAAAAATTATTATTACTCGAAACTTGTTTGTCGCAGTTATGGTTCAAACTTTTCTAAAAAAAAAAAAAAGATCGCAGATACATAACAAACGATCGTGAATACATTTCGAGAAGAAGCAGTCTCGAAATGTTTTGTTGCAGTTTATTACGCGTCGCTTGATTCAAACGTCCTCTCTATCATACTTGACTGAACGATGAAAAAGAGAGAGTGCGTCGTTCTTTCTTTGAAGAAAAATTCTACAAACTCAAGAATCCAACTCTCGAATGTTCAATACATTAATAAATTTCATTTCACGACGACGATTTTGGAATGAAACTGAAACGTTCGTTTCCCTCGCAATCAAAAATATTCCAATTTCGCCAGAGAATGATACCTTCGTGATATGTGTCTAATCGAACAATGGAGAGGGAAAAACGTTCGTCGAACGACCTCGAAATAAAAAATTTCAATCAAAAAACGCACACACGTTACGTCCTTCAGGCGAATATGACGATTGTTATCAAACGTTCCTCTCTCTGCCTTCGTGTTCGACTCGATATAAAAAGAAACGAAAGCTTCCAGATTTTCCTTTCAATTCTCTCTAAAGACGGAGAGCCAGTTTAACGCAATTTTAACGACGAAGAATTTACAAACGTAGAAATCAAAGTTGCACTGTGAGTGAAAGAAACATTCTCAAGGTTTCTCTATTGTAAAATCGAGTATCAAGCAAAGATCCTGAGCCAAGTCCCAAGTTGAAGTATATAGTATCTGTATTCCTCGAAGTGTTCTCTATTGGCTTAACAAGCCTTTGAACCGTGTAGCCGCAGGGCTTTCATTGTTACCCTCCCACTTCCGGATCTTTGGATTCACGAGGCAAGGTCTATTAGATTTAATGATACGTGAGAATCATCGGGAGAGAAAAATTTTACGGGAAAAGAAAAAGAAAAGAAAGAAAGAAAGAAGGTAAACGTCGGGAGTGGAAAAAAATTTGCCAATTGTTCGTCGTCGGAGTGTTATCATTATTCAATATTTCAATATTTGTTCGAATCTGTCTGAATACGGCTGTATAAATTCAACGGTAATACGTGGGTGACCACAATTCAGGAATAGGCGTACGTCTATGCCATAATGTACGTTTATTACAATCAGAGTCAGCCACCATGTCATTCAGAAAATTTAATATGCAATTCTATATAGAATATAATTGGAGGAAAGACTGTCGTATGTTCGTTATTAGTTATTTTATGTTTGTCCTCTTTTATTTCCTAGCTTTTGATAAAACCTGTGCTTTTACTTTTTGTTGTTTTTGGCAGAAACAACTTTTTTAACAAAATTTGATCTCTTTCATTTTTTAGTTTTTGGCAAAACTCGTCCTTCTTCATTTTCTGGTTTTTGGCAGAAACAACTTTTAACAAAATTTGATCTCTTTCATTTCCTAACTTTTGACAAAACTTGTCCTTTTTCATTTTCTAACTTTTGGCAGAAACAACTTTTAACAAAACTTGATCTCTTTCATTTTCTAACTTTTGACATAAACTTGTCCATTTTCATTTTCTGGGTTTTGGCAGAAACAACTTTTAACAAAATTTGATCTCTTTCATTTCCTAACTTTTGACAAAACTTGTCCTTTTTTATTTTCTGGCTTTTGGCAGAAACAACATTTAATAAAACTTGATCTCTTTCATTTTCTAACTTTTGACAAATCTTGTCCATTTTCATTTTCTAGTTTTTGACAGAAACAGCTTTCAACAAAATGTGCCTTTTTTCATTTTCTAGCTGTCGGTAAAACTTGTCCTTTTTCATTTTCTAGCTTTTGGCAGAAACAACTTTTAACAAAATTTGATCTCTTTCATTTTCTAACTTTTGACAAAACTTGTCCTTTTTTATTTTCTGACTTTTGGCAGAAACAACATTTAATAAAACTTGATCTCTTTCATTTTCTAACTTTTGACAAATCTTGTCCATTTTCATTTTCTAGTTTTTGACAGAAACAGCTTTCAACAAAATGTGCCTTTTTTCATTTTCTAGCTGTCGGTAAAACTTGTCCTTTTTCATTTTCTAGCTTTTGGCAGAAACAACTTTTAACAAAACTTGATCTCTTTCATTTTCTAACTTTGACATAAACTTGTCCATTTTCATTTTCTGGCTTTTGGCAGAAACAACTTTTAACAAAACTTGATCTCTTTCATTTTCTAACTTATCACATAAACTTGTCCATTTTCATTTTCTCGCTTTTGGCAGAATACAGCTTCTAACAAACTGTCCGTTTATCTCAACAACGTGATCCCCTTCTTTCTCATGCGATACTTACAGAAAACACACAAGATATGTGGAAACAGATTTCAACATTTCTCCCCCACTCAAAAGAAGAAGAAATCTGGTTTTCACTCGCGAGTCTGACACAGACAGACGCTTCGCCACGTTCGTTGTGGAATAATTCGACACGCTTAAACGTGATACAGCTTCCGGAGCAATAGTTGCGAGACGCAAATATCCTAATATTTTCCTGCGGAGGGCGAAACAAAAGCTTGCGAGTGAACAACTGAAAATTCGAACCGTAAAAAAAATTCAATCACACTTTCCACAGTTCAAGTGTAAATAACACCGGACGCACGAAATAATTGCTTCGAGCGACGCGAAACAGCAGAAAGAAAGAAAGAAAAAAAAAAAAAAAAAGAAATAAACGCGCGTAAAATAAACAAAATCACGTTGAAAGCGTTTTTACGCGATGATAATAAAATTTCCTTTCAAACCATTATAGAGGAGGGAGAGAAAGAAAGAAGAGAAGAAAAAAAAAAAAAAGAAAAGGGGAACTGAAACGAGAAAGGAAAAATGTCTGGAGGCAAATCACGGTATATAGAGTACAGGGTATAACGGAGCCCTTTTAATTATTGCGAAACCTACGGCCACTGAGACTCGTTCCGGCTCGTTAGTTACTGTACGTCCTCGTTATTCAACTCTTGCTATCGATTTTTCTTCATTTGCGTCTTCCAAGTATACCCCCCTCCCCCCCTCCCCTCGGGGGTACCGAATTCTTCTTAACCATTTTCATACCGATTTATTAACACCATTCGACCAATTTATTTCACTCTGTCTGTTTACCGTTTTCAGCGAAATTCTTCAGGCAAACACGGAAGCTGAAGGTGAAGGTAAAACTAGAGCGACATGCCGGAATTTTTATCGATTATTCTGATTCGTCGAATTGTTCCGCCAAATTGTTCGTTAATTAACGCCGATATCTAGGCTACGACTAGGTAGATCGATCTTTGTTAAAAATTCTAATGACCAATCGATGCGTCTAATGAATACGACAAGGTGTTGGAGAGGAGGGGAGGGAGCAGTGCCTTGGCTAACGCGATGTAGATGAAATTTTAGCAACCGGTGCAGAATTCCCTGCAGACTGATTTACCCTTCGATAATTCTTGCTTCGCGACATGCCTTCCAGCCAACAACGTGAACCACGAGCGAGAATTATTAGTAGTTTGTCTCATCGGTATGCTTAACCACTTGCGACTGGCGTAGTAACCTGATTGCGGACCGTAACGAGTGACCGAGCCGTATACAATAATTCGTCGCTTTCGTTTTGAACTCGTCGGTATAACTGGATAGTCTGACTGGATAGAAATTGTTGAGAAGAAATAAATTTATTATTTGTTTTGCCTATTTTGTTTCACTTAAATATAACTTAAAACCGAGAAAACATTACAATTTTGGGACGAAAAACTTCTCGACGTGCGTGGTGCGTTATTTCAGCGCAAAGCAGCAGCGACAAACACAAGGACGACGATAAGTAGGCATTCTAAAGTTTCAGGATAGATTTAAATAAGAAATCGTGGCTGAAATTCAATTTTCTTTTCTTGGAATTTAATTCGCGTAGAAGACGAAGTGATTGAAACATCTTCTTCTAATCCGCGTTTTGTGAAACTTAGAGTGGTAATTTCGGGTGATGGCTCGATCTAATTACGTACAGATTATTAATATATATATATTTAGATCATTTAATTTCGAAATAATTAAAATTAGTAAAATTAATTAATTAGCCCTGATACAAAAAGTACAAAATAAATTTTATTTATTTATTTTTCTAAAAATTCATTTACATTATTTTATATTCAACTATTAACAATATTATTAATTTTTAATTATTAGTAAAATATATTTTTATTATAAAACTTTATTAAATTGTATTAATTAAAAATTATATATATATATATATATATATATATGTATACAATATATAATACAAAAATATAAAATATATATATAGATATATGTATATGTTAATATTAACATTTTATTCGTCTGGAACAATGTTACATCTACATCGAAAATTATTGAATTAAATGTGAACGATTTCTTATTTGCATAGCTATTTTTAAGAAAACGATCAGTTTAATCTTTGATTTTGTAATATAATTATTTTCTACATAAATTAGTATTATACGTCACGGACTTATAAATTGGCATTTAGTGTATCTCAACAATAATTATAAGTTAAAAACTAACCGTGCAAACATAGTTTCACTTTGTAAAAAATATAGAAATTACAGTATTTATTGTTGCATTAAATTAATGGAGGCTATGAAACAAAAAGAAAAGGGGCTAAAGTAGAAAAAGGCTATGAAACAAAATTATCGATTAAAATTACTGATTACTGGATAAAAAAAGTCTCTTTGGAAGTATTGACA